GGCAAAAATATTACTATATAATATAAATATGATATACGTTTCTTCTAACTCTAGTTCCACTATGCATGGTAATAATTTTATCTAAAAGTTACCATCTTTTGTGAAATATAGTTTATATTTTTTTTCATCTTTTTGGACAAAAATTGTATCATAATTTTATCCCCTGCATAACGCTTCATTTATTGCTGCAACAGCAGTTTGTTGGCAATGTATAGCAAAAGACGCATGTAACCTTACAATCCAACCTGAAAAGACCAAAATAACCCCAGATAAAAGAAATTCGTTAATCTGGGGAATTGACTGGGGTCGGCTCAAAATATAATATAAGATCAATTATTTTTATACTATTTAAACTATGATATTTTTATTATATTATAATACACGAATTTTATGCATAAAATATATAGGAAATAAAAGGTATTTAAGATATTTAGTTAGCTAATTTCTTCACTTTAGTTTTTTTCATAAAAATCTTACGCATAAAATTGTGAGTTTGTGACTAATAAATTTTGCTTAAGATCATTTTATTCATAAGTTCATTTTCATCATCGTTTTTTTTTTAAATGTTTGCATTTTATTATACTTTGGAGTTTGGACAATAGCATGAATGCATGATGATTAACGAAAAATAACAATAGCTTGTCCATGTATAACTTTCCCATCAATGTTTTTTTCATTATTAAATATGATATATATATATATATATATATATATATATATATATATATATATATATATATATTGTTATTGAAAGTGAGGCAATATGTCAATGCTAATTGATTTAGTATTTTTTGTAGGAGATCAAGATTATTGTGCTCACAAGAGTGTTATTAAAAAAATGACATGAAACTAAACTAAAAATAAAATGGCATACACTTTTTTAAGACCTTTAATTTCCTTAAAAATCTTACACATTAATTTTTTTAGACAAAAGTTGTATAACTTAAGATCAATAAATTTAAATTTTATTGGGAAAAATATTATATAAGATCAATTATTTTTATTCTAATGTACAAACTTTGATATTATTATTATATTATATAATATTTGAATTTTATGCGTAACATTTATAGGAAAGAAAAGGCTTAAAAAAATTAGGTTAACTAATTTCTTTATTTAGAATAGCGGAAAAGAGAGGGAAATTTTTTAATGATGAGGCGACATGTGGAACTATTGTTTTGAGTTCTGTTTTAGTATAGTTATAGATTAGCCAAATAAATAAATTAAAAAAAACATATATTTATATCTATATACGGTACATTTCACCAAAACATTTATATCATAATCTTCTTGTTAACAAAATGAATATGTTAACAATATGTATTTAATCCATACATAGATCTTCTTTTTACCCACTATTATTCGATCTCTCATACAATATATTTTTTCAATAATCAGCTGGTAAAAATATTTTTTAAATCTTTCCTAGCAGGCTTTTCACACATAATTATATACAAAATATTTTTTTAAAAAAAATTTTTGCTGTAAAAATGGTAGAGTTGTACATAATAGTATAATAATATGTATATAACAATTTATGTTAAGAATTTGATTTGATTTAACTTTTTTTTACTTAAGTTTATGGTATTACGTAGTAATATATATATTGTGATATGATACATTAAATCTTTTTTTATTCGTTTATTTATGTAAAAAAAAAAAAGGGACACACCAAAAATGACACGTGGTGTGTCTTTTAATATATATACTCCCTCCGTTTTTAAATATTATTTGTTCCATGTCTCTTGGGCACGTATGTCGATGCTAATCTTTAATCAATTATATCTTTAATTATCATTAAGTATAAATTCTAACAATTAAAAATTAATAATCTATTCATTGAGACGATTTCAATAAGTACCCACAAGACTATATTTTTTTCTTATGTATAAATCACAAACACATGTATAATATAGAAAATTTTTATTTTACTTATTGTAGATTTTTTCAAAAATCAATAATACATACAATTTTAAATTGAATCAGGATCATGTGAGAGCCTAAGTCCACAATAGGAACTAGGAACTCATCGTGACCATTGATCGCTCTCAATCGGACGGCTCATGTGTCACCCGCCTTTTTCAATCTCATTAAGGGCATTTTCGTAATTTAGAGTATTGAATGACCTCCGTTCTAATTCGCACACACGCTTCATTTTTTCTCTCTCCTCTTCAGATTTTCTCTCTCTTCCTAACAGTCCTCTGAAGAGGTGATTATTTTCTACGCTCTTCCATTTTTTCGCTCTACAATTTCTTCGCATTTTCTCATCAATATCTCGCGATAATCTGTTAAGGTATGTAAATTTTTGTTTAATTTTGTATTTGCTCGATTTTGAAACATGTTTTTTGCGATTTTTATCGCGAAAATCTAGTTATGCGAATTTTGATTGTGAAAATTAGGGTTCCTTGTTATTGAATTATTTGTTGGACTTTTATGATTTCGATTGATATATTAGGGATTTTAATATGTTTGTGTATTTGCAATTTCAATTTTTAAAATTATAATTTTTTTCACTTATTTATTGGAGAATATGAGATTTCAATTGATTTATACGATGTATTAGTACTGGGTTGTTTCTGTTGAGATACATACTGTAGACACCCATTTGTGTCTCCCCAAAACCAAACCCAGTGATGATTGCCTTTCACGTTGAATCATAATCGAATGAAACGAAAGTGTGGAAAGGTCTAGTGTTGCGGAAAGTTTCTTTTCTTTTCTCTTCTCTCTGTTTTTTAAAACTTTATTTTAAAGAAAACAGCCAATCCAGTTTGGTTGGTCCATGATATGGGTCCAATAGTGGTGTAGTTGGATAGGGCTTGCGAAGACCTTTCCAACGTTATATTATAAGCGCAATTCCGATGAATATTGAGGAATTTATGGCCAATTTACTAAACTGGGCCCGGTTTGAGTTTTAAGTACGGCCCAATGATCTAGGGGAGGGCCTAATATGATTTATCATTCCTAATGTAATTAGGAATGGTTTTGGTCTTCTAGAAAATTCTAGAAGGTCTTATCATTCTTAATTCAATTAGGATTCTTCAGAGTTTTAATTAGATCAAATAGCATTTTCGACTGAAATTATATTATTTTATCTTCCAGTACAGTAAAATTATCAGATTTTCGAAAACGCGTTAAAATCCGGTTTGGCGTCCAACCCCAGGCCTTGGCGCCTGGAATCAGGATTGGCGCCAGACGCCAGCCATTGGCGCATGGCGCCAATGAGCCAGGGCTGGCGCCAAGTTAGTTTTTCGATCTTCAGACTCTGTTTTGATAAATTATATTTTTTGGATGATTTTCTCTATAAATATCGTATCAAAAACCCCGTTTTCATTCACCAATTCTCTTTATTCTTAAGTTTTAATAAACTCCGTTTTCAATCATCATCTACAATCATCAATCTATCAACAATCACCTTATGAATTACCAATAATCAATTCTTTTCATCATCTTCATCATTCATTTATCAATTTTCAATAACATACATTCATTCTTTCTTTTCTTAAATACCTTGCTTTTTAACACAAAATTCCGCATTCACAAGATCTAGATACACCTAGCCATATTCGAAGTTGCCTTCGCCCTAGGCGTGAAAGGTTTTAATTTCTGAGGGTTTGGTCCCAAATCTCTCTTTCAATTATTTAATTTAATTGTTTTGATTATTTATTTTCCTTGAAGTTACTAACGTGTGTATTTTGTAATTAGAAAGAGGTACGAGGCATCCAAGTAAGTACTTTAATGGTTTAATTGATATCATGATGTAGACATCATGCTTAGATTGTTATTTATGATTGTTAGTATCATGTTAGGGCTAAAGATTTGATTTTTATTGCTTAGTGACATGCTAGGGTTTGTTATTAATCTTGTTAGTATCATGCCTAGGATCTTGCTATGCTTTAACATGATTATTGATTATGATTGATATTATTGTTATTAATGATGTTGATTATTTATTATGTTGCTTGATATATATTTTATATTTGTTATTGCTTGATCACCTTTTATTGCAGGTTAAAGGGAATTGGTATTTGCAATCACGCTTAATAAGATAATTAATAATCTTGTTAGGTTAATTGTGATTATAATTTCAAGTTATCACCAATAATAGTTTATTTGTGCATTAAATTCAACCAACATAGATTAAACAGGTTTAGGGCTAATCCTATTGATTGTATGTTAGTCAGAAAGCGCACATGAATACGATCAGAATAAAGTAGAGGCCTATTATTAGGGCAGGTTCAATCTCTTTTAGGTTGGATTTGTACCATCATCCCCGAACCCTTATTTGGTTCATGACCTTATGGAGTTGACGATCTCTTGGATCGTTAAGGGGTGTAACCTTCACCTCGTGAACGGTTTACAAGTTCCTTAAAAACTTGTTGGCGACTCTTTTTGCTCTATCTTCTTCCCTTTTGGACGCCACCGTACTTTAGTGTATGATCACAGTGGGGTTCAAGCAGTGGGATTTTTAAAGGCTTGAAATTATTCCCTACACATATGTTTAAGTAATTTTTCCCTAATTAAGCTATACTACAAAAGGCGTGCTTTTTAGACGCTTTTTAGCCTTATTTTCCACTAAAAAGCGTCGCAAATTTTTTTTTTCGACGAGAATAAGTGAGTCGAGAATTTTGTTGGACATCAAAAAGCGTCGCGAATCTCGACGCTTTATTGTGTCTAAATTTTTATACGAAGCGTCGCAACTTGCAACAGTTGGCGCACTTTCTTAACTTTGGCGATGCTTTTTGTAGTCAAGAATTTTAGAATTGGTGACACTTTTCTGTGTCCAAATTTTCATACATTTGTTATCTAACATTTTGGCGACGCTTTTTTCGTGTTCACGTTTTCTAATTTGGGGACGCTTTATCTTGTCCATATTCTTTTTAAAAAACATCAAAAAATAATAAAATAAAATATTTCATGTGATTTCTTCTAGTATACTAATATATATTACCAAAAAAAATTAAGAAGTACAAAAAAATTATACCAAAATTTTATGTTGCATATATAAATATATTATAGCATATATACAATATCTCATAGTAATGAGTTTCTATTACAACAATTATAATTGAAACTTAGAATTCATTCGTGACTAGTTGAAGTGGAACAAATTCCGAATCACTAATTGAAATCTTTAAAGAGCTTAATATATCTTTCTTCCGTCCTTGAAATATTGCAGGGTTAGTTGTCAGCCTTTTTCTACCATTTCTCGGTATTCAGACATGGATGTCTACATAATCTTTTGACCCTGCAACACATTAAAGCATATGCATCGATCAATACATCAACAAGTGAATCTAAATAAAATATTAGATCAAAACTACTAACACTAGGGAGCCATCTCTCTTCCTCCTTAAGTTCACATTTTGTAGCCAAAGCCTCCAAATCCCTACATAGCGTTAAAAACTAATAAGCTGAGAAGCCAATAAATTTATGATGGCTGCAGAATTGTAGGAATGATCTCCATTATCTTCTTACCAAGATGAATGTCATAACCAATAAATTAAAATTAGCAAGTACTAACATACAAAGAATAGATAAGCTTTATAATTAAAGGAGTTATTTGTTTAGGGTAATTAGTGTACCTGCAGTTGTTGACTAAATAAATGAAGATATCCTGATTTTGGGCAAGCAACAAGCTCAATCAACTCAACAAGCCTGTCAGGAACTTTAAACAACTCCACTAATGAAACAAACACCTACAAACATAGTTACAAGTGGAGTTCAGGATCTACTGATTACAAACAACAGGCACATTTAGCCATTCAAATGCAAATGACAGAAAATTTGAGTGGCTACTAGTACCATAACACACTTACCTGCATGCAGTGTAGAATTAATTCTGGAAGACAACACCTACAACAGACAATGTGTTGACTTTAAAGACCTCTGTAGAATGTTCATAGAACAAAATTCCAAATAAATCCAAACCTTCATAGAGTTGCTAACAAGTACAGAAGGTAAACACAAATGTAAAGTGCAGTTGAAGAAGGTTCATGAGTACATACCTTCGAGCTAAACCCTTAGAGTTCCCACCATCACCAATAGTTACATGGATAGAACCACAACTCATCAACTGTTGCGCGAATATCTAACTGTGTGCAATGTAAAACAGCTTGACAAGCACCAATAAAGCTTAAGCCCCAGCAAAGACCAATAAAGCCACCACTAGTCCATTGCAGACAAAAACAAAAATGTCTTACCATCAGAGTCAACTGTCTAAATCGGGATTCTACTTCACAATAAGAGACATGTAAAGTCCACAGAAAATTAAACCAATTATAGTGTGAAAAAATTAAAGTACTACTTACTTCAAAACAACCAAGACGGAAACACTAGCATAAAGAAGATCAATAGAGATCCCATCAAATTTAAATTTCATCACTGGTACATGCGCATTAGGAATTGGTTGAAGCTCGGTCACTTCCACCAATTGTGCCAGAATATCATAGAAAATGTAAAAGAAATCCTCCTATTGAGCACAAGGTAGAAAACCAATTATTAGAAGCTAAAACCCGGAGCAAATTCAATGAAATTGAACAAATCGCACAAATTAAGACCACTACTTACATTTCGGTTGATATATGATGGCCCCACATACATAACGCATCTATATCAGCTTCGGGACCACTCACCTGTATAAGGCATACTCCTTCTGTCCCAGTTTACTTGCAACATTTTGACTGAACACGCTTGCTGATGCACATGTGTGACCGTTGATATCTTTTATTATATATTTATATAAGTTATAAAAAGTTTATATTAAGAAACTGTACATTAAAATAGACCCAACAACATTTTACATGATTACATTGACTTTCATATAATAGTTAAGAAAGATGGTCAAAGGAAGATGTGTGAATAGTGTAAAAAGTCAAACCGTTGCGAGTAATTTGGGACAAAGGGAGTACAAAGGATAAATTTGGTATTTATGTCAGAAAATAAGTCATACAAAAATAACTCCTTTCTGAAAGCATACTTTAATAAATCACAACAAGAAACTGATACCATAAATCAGCATAGCAAACCAAAACAAGACACATTAAAAAAAATATGAAACCATCAGTTATCGCAATAAACGGCATCAAAAATCTCTGAAAAGAATTATCAGAAAAACCAGACAAAGAAAACTTTAATAACTTGAGTTTTAATCAACAATGCATAATCAATATCCTCAAATGCAGATTCACCAGACAGATATTGATCAATAGCAGCAATCTAAAAATGGTTTCACCAAAGCATAAAATCTTTGATTTCTTACCCCTAGAAGACAAAGGAACCCAACTTCCCAAATGCCTTAGTGTTTCACCAGAATACAAATTTCTTAGTATTTCACAATCCCAAACGGTAGTTTTGCCCATACTTTCAACTACTCATAATGAAAGAAATAATTTTTTTTTAGCTTTCCATATATAGGAGCAGTTTCACTGTCAATAAATTAGGCACCTGGATGAAGTACAATGCTTATAAAACATATCCAAATCATTTATAATAGCACTAGAAGTAGCATACACTGGACTAGAGAAGTAAAATTTCATACACCTACTGGAGATTATTCTACCAAAATTCAAATTAGAAGTTTAGACGAAGAGATAGATGTATTAATAGATCAAAGTGATTGATTCAATACAAGATAATTCCCACTCTATGAGAGATGAGCTCTCCCAATACTCTTAGCTGCCTTCTAGCATAAGTGAGCACAACATAGCATAAGTGAGCACAACAGAACACCTGACTAAATTCCTAGCAGACATGTACTCTAACAGCAAGAAACGCTGTTATAAGATCAAAGTTCAACTTTCCAAGACAATAATGTTTGCAATATAACAAAGTATATTGTTGGTTTGGAATGGCTGGCAGATCTATACCATCCCACCAACAAATCCATCTAGTCACCTATTATTTCACCAACAAAAGTTTCCAAAATTCTAATGCTACAATGTGAGTAACCAAGTGAAAACTATCTTATTACAGCTGGAATTTTTTGTTCAGCATAACTTCATATTAACTTTCAATCAATACAGACAAATGTGATGTGCACCAGAAACCTCATGGAAAATCCTGTAAAATAAACAGTAACAGGCAAACTACACCGTCTTATTTTTATCATTAATCAAGAATCAGAATAATGCATTAAGCCACGAAGGTCAGTACTAGCAGCTCACCAACTTTGTTTCTTTGCTAATTATCAATACAACTCAATTATAAACCTTGAAATAAACAACTAAGAAAGGGAGGATATAGGATTGAAAGTAATATTAATTAAAATTCTTATTTCAACTTTCATTTCTACAGCTCATCAATAGCAAAACTTTAAAACTGGAATATGGCCTCACATCAATGACATACAAAAATTCTTGAAGCCATACTTATTTGGGGGTGATAACATAGTCAAAATTTAAAAAGAATCATCATTTAGAAAATGAAGGATAAGGAGATAAGTCACAACAACATCTAATACAAAGAGAAAACAAGTTAAAAAAAAAAAAAACAGAGCAAGAGACCCCAAATGAATACGAGATAAGCGAATCATAACATTTTCCAAAAACTATAAAATGGACATTTCATCATTTAATTTTGCTACTGTGTGCACTCCCAACTAATCTATAATGAAACAGAGTCCAAAAAATATATAGGCTTCATATACCAAGTAGCTATTAAAAAAGGACCATTAGTGTAGACACCTAAAAATGTCTCCCCAAAACCAAACCCGATGATGAACAACCTTTCACCGCCATTATTGGCCGGGTTGAGTATGTAATTTTTAGAGTGCTTAAATCCATGTTCATTCCCAATACATTTCATAAATCAACCCAATTCCTAACCCATTTCACCAAACCATAACTTAATTTTCTCTTTTCGTGCCTATAAACCCAAAATAATTCATCTCGTATCCATTAAAATCATTGATTTTCGTGTCCTTTTTATAAAAATGTTTGATCCAGTTTATTTTGGTCCATAATCTGAGTCCAATGATTGAATTGATGGATGGGTCTTGAAAATATCTTTCCAACGATATATTATAAGCCCAAATCCGAGTTATAACGAATAAGTTATGGCCAAAATGCTAAACTGAGTCTAAATCGAACCTAAGCCCACCTTACCTACGACCCAATGATCATGTGAGGGTCCAAAGGCTTAAATCCCACTCCTAATCCAATTAAGATTAATTAGAAGCTTCTATAAGTTTCTAAAATATCTTAATTATCCTTTTTGAAAAGATAAGATTAAAGAGTTTGAAATTGAATAAAACTTTTCTTTTTGAAAGTCCTTATTCTATTCGAATTAAAAGACGTTCAAAGATTGTCAGATATTATTTTCTTGCTTCATAGTTTTTATCTAATTCTTATATGGTTGGATAGCTCTTGAAATTATCTTTCCAATGATATATTATAATATTAATTCCGAGCTATAACGAAAAAGATATAAAAGAAATACGAAACTCCATCCAAAACTGACACCGTCCCACTATTTCGGCCATATCTTTTATTATACAAAATATTTTAATCTGATTCTAATTGGGTTAGAAATTAGACTTCAAGAGAATTCCAACGATATCTTATTCATCTTATTCCAATTTCTGGATCAAAAGATATGATAAAAACAAAAACCGCAAAAACTGTTGTCTATCACAAGAGTTTTATCCGATTCGAATTCTTATCTTTTCTTGATCCAACCCCTCTTTTTTCCTTATAAATAGAGGTCATGTCTCCCCTTTTTCAATCATCAACAATCTTGATCATCAAATTATTCACTCCCTCCCTCCCTACACCAAAAAATCATTCTCTCTTCCTCTCTTTTACACCAAAAATCATTCTCTTCCCTCTCTCTCATATTCTAAGCCTTAACCCTATATTCTTAAACCCTATATATTCTTCCCTTAAGCACTCCAAGGAGTCCATACTTAACCCGAGGTTCCGTCCTTAAACCAAGGCGTGAAAGGTACAAATAACTGATGGTTTGGACCAAATCAACTCTACTTTTATTTAATTTAATTTCCGTTTGATTTATTTTTATTGAAGTTACTAACAATTTATTCATGATGTAGCAATTTTAAGGAACGCGCGAAATGTGAGTAATTAATCAATTTAATTACTTATTATTATTTTATATTGCTAGTATCATGATTATTATTATTATTATTTGATTTGACTAACGATGTTATTGTTGAATTGCTTCCAATATTAATGTTTATTCTTATATTTATTATGATCAACATATTGCATGTTTAAAGGGAATATGTAATTGAATATCACGCCTAATAAGATAATTTGGACAACCGGTTTAGGTTCCTTTAATCTTGTTATTTAATTAAGTGATCACTAATATTTTAGAATTATGTGTGCATTAATATTCAACCAATTTAGCATAATAATAGTTTGGAGCAAATTGAATATTTTGTTTGTATGCCTTTGAGATCACATGAATACTTTTCACAATAAGAATCAAGTAGAGGCCAATATGGTTTATGTGTCATCATTCATTACGACCCTAAAACTCTTCATATGTGTAACCTTAGCTTTGTACCTAATTTTCCCATGTAATGTAACTTTTAAATTGCACATTAAGACATTAATCACACACTAGTAGTTGTTGATACCTTGAATGCTAATATCTTAGATTCAATATATATTAGTTAAGCAATTATACAAATAACTCCATAATATTTATGTTAGTTATTATTTTATTATGTAAAGTAAAGTGAAAAACCTAGCACCCTTGGCAGATTTGAAAGAAGAAATGCGGAGAGGCCTCTCCAACATATATGGGTGCGCGACCTCTCCAGCTTCTCCACATTTTTGGAGAGCCCTCTCCACCCTGCTACTGAAGTTTCTGCCCCGATTTCTCCCAGTTTGGAGCGGCCTCTCAAAGACATGGAGCGGCCTCTCTATTCCGTAGGAGCGGCCTCTCCAGGCCTTGGAGAGGCTGCACTCGATAGGTCCTACGAGCTTTTGATTGCGGAGTCTACTATGTTATTGAGGGTTATAAATAGTTTTTGGGGGCTCATTTGGACGGAGCTTCTTCTCTCTTAACTCTCTTACACTTTGTTTGGATATCAAAGAAGGAAGGAAAATAAGGGGAGGGAAAATGGAGGAAAAGGAAGGCAAAAGAAAGGGAGGAGGAGATAAGCTCCATTTTCCCTCCAAATCTCTCCAATTTTGAAGAGATTATGCTTATTAAAGAGAGAGGGAAAATAGATCCCTCCTTCTCCTTCCCCAACCTTCCCCCAATCTTTTACCCAAACAAGAGAATTTGTCCCCCTTCATTTCTCTTCACTTCTTTTCCTTCCTTTTCTTCCTATCCAAACAAAGTGTTAGGCTTATTCTCTTAGTTAGTGCATAGTTTTCCTCTCCCTTAGTTTAGACTAAGTGTGAAGCCTGTGCGATGCACGGGTTAGTTTATAGATTATTATTATTATTTTAGTATTTTTACTTTTTCTATTATTATTTTTAATTATGAGATGCATGGGTTAGTTTATAGCTTTTTATTTTTATTATTATTTTTTTAATATTTTTACTTTTTCTACTATTATTTTTAATTATGAATATAGTAGAGATCAACAGCCATAGGTGATCGTGTTGGATCAATATTTATTAATCAAATACATTAAAAATAATAAAGAGATGAATTATTAATGTAGTCGATATAATATTGCAATTCTTTACAAAGAAAAAATATAATTATTTCAACTTATTAAATATTACTTTTTATTAATAACATAATTAGAAATAAAATTGCTAGTTTCAGACGGATTTTATCTTCATCTCCTCTATGGAGAGTATATTTTGCTTATGTAATTGTGGTATATGGATCTTGGTCCTCCCGTGAATGAAGCCGGCAAAATAACTCTATTCTCCTTTTCCATCTCAAGTGTGCAGCATGTAGTGTCTATTCTTTTTCTATAATTGTGGTACATGTATCTTATGTCTCCGAAGAATGTTGGTGGCAAGATTGTTCTTTTCCCGTCTTCGTTCCTCGCAGTATTTTCGTTTTCCATTGCATCCCTCATCATGTTGAGCTGTGGTTGATGTTGTTGGATATTCTCACCATACAGGTTTTGCGAAGGGTATTGTAAAGCCATGTAGGTTTGATATTAAACCAATGATTATTATTTTTATGTATCGTGTGGTTAATTGTTGATGCATGTACTATGAAATAGTTTTATGTCTATTTATAAGGAAATACAATAAATATTATCTTTTTTACATAAATTTTATCATATTTTTATTGTTGATCTTATTTAATATGTTGAATTCCAATCCATATTTCCATGTACATCAATTAAGAATCATCGGCAGTAACATACTAACAACTAATGGTAATAAAATTATCCCTAATTTTAAATGATATGTTCCAACTTTAAATTATATAGATTTTAAAACACATACTTGTAAATAAAAAAGCTACCCTTTTGATTTCAGAAAAATATAAATGAAAAAAAAGCTACCCTTTTTTTCTTTTAATAAATATATTAAAAAAACTACCCTTTTCTGTCTTCTTCCATATTAAAATGTATCAATTTTCTCACTTCATAAAAAATAATGTATCAATTTTCACTGTAATAAACCCTAACCAAATGAAATCAAACCCAGAAATCAAGTCTCTGTCTTCTTCTCTCTCTTCACTTGAGAATCATATCTATCTTGATGAATTGATCGAACTAATCTATGATTTCATTCTCTCTTCTTAAATATATGGTACTCCGTAATTCTTTCTCTTCATGCAATTTTGATCTTTGTCATTCATTTAACTGAAATTTTGTCAGAATTCGTTTAGTTGAAAGTAATTTTTTCCCTCTGTTACTGTAATTTTGCTTTTCGATTGGCTAGGTTGATAGGCTTGATGTGAAATTGGCGAAGTTTGATGCTGGACGAAGTTAAAGGTGATTAAAGAAGTGAGAAATTTACCTAATTGGTTGAGAAAATACATGCATTTGTGAAGAAAGGAGTTAGTGAAGAAGAAGGTGAAGCTATTATCTATAAATTTCAACTTGAATTAACTTTTTCCAGATAATTAGTCCGATTAAATCAATGTTTTTCTTGTTGTCATCATAAATTGAGTTGAAAAATGTTATATGTTGCAGTGCATTAATTAGAAATTGAAGTTTTATTGTACTTTGTTGGATGTTATATATGTATATTGTAGTGTTAAATGTGCATAAAATTAAAGTTCGTTGCTTACTTGCTAACATACTTGTAGAAAAAGTGGGTGGAGGTGGTTTCAAGGCTTAAATCGTTGTTTTGTAACTAACAAAATGAAAATCTAACAAATAATAATATCAAAAATTTTAACTAATCACCATACTTTGTTTTTGCGTGATAGGAGGATGTCTAATCTTTTTAATTTTAATCTTGTATCCAAACCTGAGAGCATAGAAGTGATAATTGATTGCTTATCCATTGGCTTGTTTTATTTTTGTTAATATGTGTATATCTACTTTTTGCCTCTAATTTTGAAAGAAAGATATCATAGATAGCAGTTAAGGAGAATTCATCTCCTAAATTGCAGCCTTGATGAATGAGCATGATTGATTACGATCAATCACAATATCGTATCTTAGTATTTATATTATTCTTTGATTCCATGTATAGTATAGTCTATACTCTGTAATCTCTTTATTTAAGGTAGTATGTTGACTTTTTGTTCTATAATGGTCACTTAAGACTTGTATATAAATACTCTGTAAATCAATAATACTAAGTAAGCTTTTCTCTATTCTCTTCATGCATCTAATAGTTCTTTTGGAACTGGTATGACCCCCAAACTGCTCTTATTTTGGAACTGGTTTAACCCCTAGCTGCTCATTGTTTCAGAATTTTGGTATTGAAAACCAAAGAGATTTTGTGGCAGATATTTAGTCTTTTTAACATCATCTTATCCTGAGTTTTTTTATGTAACTTGCAGGTTTCTAAAGTAGTTTTGTCTTGTGTACTGCCAGGAATGAAAGATCTTTATCATCTTCTAAAGCATGAGTTTCTCCCCTTGGATTTGTCTCTAAAAGTTCAGCCCTTGTTGAACAAAAATTTCTAAGTTTGGTGGAAAACTTGCTTCAGCTGCAATTGTCAAAGTATAGTCCTGCCTTGGAAAAGCTAGCAACTCTGAGGTTGCTACAGCAGGTGCTCCATTTGTAATATTTTGCATCTCTACCAACTGTATTTTGCAAGTGTACCATAGTACATTATGCCATAGCTGCCTTTAGTGTCATTGATATCCTACTTTTGACATCGCAGGCTTCCCAAGTTACAATGGCTATTGAGAGTTTTTCCCAAGTGATTCCATTTTTTGTTTTTTCCACTGTGGAAAAGATCTCTGTAGATGCTGTGAAACATAGGTTTACAAATATGAAGGTTGACCATATGAATGGTGCTGTTTTGTTTAAAATTCTGGTAAGCTCTCATGTCTGGCATCTACGTATTATGTACTTATGTCCATTAGTTTTTCGTAATTGTAACTAACTAACTAACGTACAATAAACTATCTCATTCTTGCTGCTCATGTTTTAATTCAACATGTTTTAGTTGAGTTGTAACTCCGTAAGTGTAATGAATAATATGGATTATTTAAATACAAAAATCTTTATATGATTAATTTGGAAAGTAAATTATTAAAATATTGTGTTCTGCTAATAATAAAAAATATTTGTAAAATTTGGGTGTAAAAAAAAGATATGACTATTACACAGAGGGTAAGTTTGAGAAAACTTCTTTGTAGACGATGTTCTTTGTGCTCCTTTTGTACTTTTGCAAAGAATCATTGATAAAAAACTTTAGGCCTTCTGGTGAAGTTGTTCTTGAAGCTGCCACATAGAGTTTTCCGTGACTAAAAACAGGATTCGGTAGGTATACTCCCACATATGAAAGTGACTGTCCTTGACTCTTGTTTATTGTCATTACATAGCAAGGCTTTAAAGGGTATTGTCTTCTTTTCAATATAAATGGCAGTTTGTGGTCTGTTGAAATTCTAGGTATTACAACTTTGTTTCCCTGTTTAGACCCAGTTATGATCTTTCCTTCAATCACAAACTTCCCAAGATGCGTAATAATAAGGCGAGTTCCATTGCATAGCCCTTGTGGTGGGTTTATGTTTCTGAGAAGCATGACCGGCATTCCTTCTTTCAACTTTAGCTCATGGTGGGGTAAGCCCGGTAACTTTAGGCTGTTCAAATACTCTATAGGGTATGCATCAAATTGTTGGTCACAATCTGTTGAGGATAAGCATATTTCATCACAACTTTTGTAGGTTTTTTCTTCTATGGGTAAGAGACCCATCATGTAGTCATTAATGCTATCAGTAGTATCATTTAGGGGTGTTAGTATAGCCCTCTCCCTCAAGTAGTTGGCATCACTTTTTCTTTGTTCAAAATCTTGGTAAATGGTCTCCACGACCATTTTCAGATCAGAGATATCCACATTTGCCATATGCTCACTTGGTATTTCAATCCATGTTCCTTCGGCTTCATGATCTTCATTTTGTGTTTCAAGCCTTCCATCTCCCATAGCTAGCAGCCATTCATTGAACCTCTTATTTTTAAAGTAGTTCTCTGTTTCGATGTCCCCTTCTCGTACCCTCATGCTTTGTTTTAGTATAAACACATTGCAATCTTTCCATATGTGGGATCTATTAATCGAAGCCTGGACAATTTCTTGTCTGCCTCCCTTTGGCACGATGGGGAGTACTTGTCGGAAGTCTCCTCCAAATAATACCACCTTGCCACCAAATAACTTAGATGCTGCGTTTGGGTTCTTGTACCCTGCAATGTCCCTCATAGTGCGATCTAAGTGCTTCAAATGCAAACCTGTGGTCCATTGGTGCTTCGTCCCATATAATCAATGATGTTTGCTGTAGTAGTTCTGCTAGTTGTGTTTTGCGACTGATATTACATGTTGAATTCTCTAGTAGGTCAATCGGTATCTCAAACCTGCTGTGTGCTGTTCTTCCTCCAGGATTGTAGGGCCGCAATACCTGATTTGCAGTTTGAAGAGAAGTGACAGGTAAATAATTTCTTTTACTGTTTTTTGTTATATAACCTAGATTTCATATCGTAAAGATGTGACTAATTTTACTGTTCTTTTTTAATTTGAATTTAATATCAGGTAGCATTTGAATAACATTTTAAAAGATTAATGCCTTACCTGATGACGCAACATTTAGAACAATTTTCTTTACTGCACGAAGCCTTGCTGATATGGTGCAGTATAGGAAAGTCTTTCCGGTCCCTCCGTGGTCATATACAAAAAATATCTCCCCTGTTTCGTTCTGTACAGCCTGCACAACTCTGTCAAAAACAACCAATTGCTCTTTGTTCAGTTTTATTACTCTGCTTGACCACTCTTCTTGCTGTTGCTTGGTGTCATATAGTATTTCTTCTGTATTAGCTTGTTTTCCATGCACTCTGCTTCAGTGAAGTCGGGTTGTGGCGTATCTTTGAAATCAGCTAATGACTTTCCGAATTTCACAAGGATTCTATCAATCTCCAGTAGGGTGAATGTCTTTATTTGATCTTCTGTTAGTATTAGTTCTGGATGTTTGAATAATCGCCTTTTCTTTTGTAGTATGTCATCTGAGAGGGCCTTAAAGCTACTTTCCCAAAGGCTGAATATGTTAGTCACTTCGCACAATAGAAGTAGTGTGACAAATAGTTCTCGTAGTTGCGATGGCATTGCCCACTGGTTGGCCACTTGTATAGCGTCGTGCCATTCTTTGTCATTGCTAAGTAGTCCCAAAACGTAGCACGCTTCTTTGTAGGTAGGATGCAAGTAGCCATCGATTGTCCTTATTTCTTGAAAAGATTTAGGACCCTTGACAATGTTGAGTAGTAGACGAAGGTAGTACCTCTCTCCTGCTGTTGGGTGTATATATGTTATTCTTCCAATGGTTTTTCCATGATGTCGTTTCTCCCAAGATTTTTTCTTTTTTGTATTTCCAAGCTCATCAACTACATCAACGGTAGTCCATACTTAGTCTGTAGGGAAATCTGCATATGTCAAGGATCTTGCATCTTCATCAATTGCATTGGTTTTCATCCATTCCGTGAGCATAGTCTCATTGGCTTCTTCATTGTTCATGAGCATGCTTAAATTCTCATTGTCTCGAATAACAACCGCCTGTTCTCCTTCCAAGTGTATAGGCAGACGTATGACCGACGGACTTCTTTCGTGGATATCAAATTCAAAAATTCTCCATGCGGCCTCACATGCTGAGATATACCTACAATCAAGGTATGATTTTATCTCATCTGTTTCGTCGTCACTAATTATCATGGTTGTCCTGTCTGGTCCTTTGCATATATATTTAAACAGGTACTTGATAACACGTGTGGTATTTGACAGGGTAAAGTCGTATTCCCTAATAAAAAATAATTACCAAAGTCCTCTAACTAAAGTAGATAGGGAAGTAGGGTCGATCTCCACAGGGAAACAAGTCTTTTTACTCCTAATTAATTATTATAATCTAAATTATTTAAGTAACCAATATTTATAATTGAGTATGAAACTAAACTACAAAGAATAGGAATAGGGAGAAACAATATATAAAAGGATCTAGGGCATAGGTTCACCAATAAATAATACTCCAGGGTAAAACATAGTAATCAATCATTGACATTGCATAAATAACATGATTAACAGGCTCTCGCAATTTATTAATCAACATAGATCTAACAGGCTTTCGCAATTTACTAGGTCTAAGTTCTTATTGAAAATAGCCTTTAATATCAAATTAACATCTGCTCGATTCATCAATTTAATATTGCTATACTTTTACAAGCCACAATTATAAAACGTTAAAACAATTCAATAAGAAATTATCATGCAATACCAATAATCAATAATAGTCAATCATCAATGCATTAATTAACCAGATTGTAAAGGGCTTTCGCTACGTATTACAATCACACAATTAATCTACCGGCATTAAATCCCATCTCTCGAATCTGGACTTAACCATTTATATATTAATCTGCCTATTGAAACTAGACCTAAACATTAATTCTCATCTCTCGAATCTTGAATTCATATTGTCAAACTCATGCATAAAAGATAGGCCTAATCTAGTTACAGAGCATTAAATCAATCAATAGGAAATTAATCTAGCATTGATAATTAACAACAATTTACCCCTTCATATTATTTATTAGATCCCCATAAACCCTAGAAATTAAACTACTCACACATATTAAAAACTAAACTAATCAAAGTAATAAAATAAATCATGATGAAAGGAATAAAATAAACAACTCAGATTAAGGGAAGAGAAATCGTTACCAAAATAAATCTGGAATTAAGAGTAGAATTAAGAACAAAGGTTTAAGAGAAAAGAAATCTAAGATAATAATTAAGAGAGTAAAGAAAAGTGAAAAGAGAAGAAGAAGAGATCCTAAAATCGTATTACGGAGGAGTATTTATACTCCGTACAAAATCCTAAACTGAAACAAATTAAAACGACGTTAATCAATTCCTAAGAAATACACGCGCCCGATCGAGCGAGGCACTGCCCGATCGGGCGCGCCTTTTTGCTCCCTAATACCAATCTCGCGCCCGGCCAGGCGCGTCACCGGGCGCCAGCCTAAGCTTCTCCCGCCCGGCCGGGCGCGCCTCCGAGCGCCAGCCTCTTTGGCCGGGCGGCTCATTTGGGCCACTATTTGGACTTCGATTGGGCTCCAATTCTTCGGGCCAATCTGGGTTTCCTCTTTGGGTCTTGAATACTCGGTCCAAATGCCCCGATATCACATATACCGAGCCCTGGGCTATAAACTCTGGTCGTGCTTCTCCAATGCTCGTGATTGCTCCAAAATATCTCGGGAAAAATACTCCAAAAGCATAAATCCCTGCAAAAGTCAACCAAATCTACGAAAACACTAGAAAACACCAATTAGTAATAAAAGTAGCTCTAAAGAGCCAAAAACACTACTAATTACGACCAAGGGACGGGGGTAAAATACTATATAAAATAGACACATCAAACTCACCTAAGCCAAACCTTTGCTTGTCCTTAAGCAAAGATCTCATCAATGAATCTATAAATATGCTTCACCCCAAAAGTAAAAATCAAGCACGAACGATCCAGGATAAATCAAATAAATACGCTTCAGAGTCAACCAATCAAATCCATCCAATTACCTTTCTTCCCTAACAATTGTCAAACAGAGCAAACCACAAGAGCATATAGAATTCAAGACTAGTGCTCACACACTCAACTCTCATTTTTGTGGCGAGTAAAAGATGTACTCGATCGCTCTCCATCCAACCCCTTTATGTGAACAATGCCCTCCCAACTCACACTCTCGTGTGTATAAAACAATGAACGCTCAATCCTACTAGTCGACTCGAAATATGCCAAATCATAACTTGCATTGATAAACAACACTTTCACATTCATACAATTCTATGCACAAAGGTCAGAAGGTCTTTAAAGCTTGTAATGTAAGGCTAGGGTAAAGGGTAGGATAAATTTGGGAATAAGTGAGAGAAAAGCCATGTTTAAAGGAGCCATATCCTAATAAAACCCATGATCAAAATAAATAGTGATCATACATCTCCTACATAACCAACTCTAACATCAACCAATATACTCCACTCATAATAAATAAACCCAACACTTACAATTTCACTCATAAGATATAATAATGGAGTAATAGAGTGAATAAACAAACTTATTTTCCAAACTTGAATTTTTTTCCTATTGAAGCTCTTATTTTTTTCTTCTTTTGATCAACCTCCAACTAGAACATTTGAACACTTTTTTTTTTTCTTTCGAAGTTCACTTATTTTTTTCACATTTTTTCTTTGAACTTCTCTTTTTTCATAATATCATGCTTTATTTTTTTCAAGAAAATATAACTCTCAAACTCATCAAAAATAAACATGAATAACAACAAAACAACTTCTCAAATCCCACCCAAATTGTACAAATAGTAAGCACACTACACTACAAACTCCCTCACCTCACTCACTAATAGCTCCCCCAAGCCAAGCTTGGGACTAGTAACCAATGTGGCAAAATAGGCTTGTAATGCGGCTAATAAACAACAAAAAGGTCAAGGCAACAACATGGGTAGCAAGAAGGGAACAAATGTATCTACAATCATCTGGAGGCTACCTAAAAGAACAAATGCCTTCGTCCTCCACAATGTGCATAATAATGAATCATATAAACATTACTTATAGTTGCAAACCAATACTCAAATTCATTGACATACAAGAAAATATGGAACTATCACACATTCCTTACCAAATCAACTAGTTAAGCACTATATTCACAAGTAGTTGGACAAAATTGACGCATGTAAAGGTTTTAGGGCAATCAAACATCAAATCAAGATCAACTAATCCACAATGCCTATCATCAAATACCAAGAATCAAAACAATTTTCTCAAGTAAGGGGCACAGGGAAGCATAATTTATAATTCATTGGAACGTATTTTTGGATTTTTTTATTTTTCAATTTTTTTGTATTTTTATATATAAAAGAAAGCAATAAAACTAACCTAGAAAGCAAGAAATCTAACCTAAGAAAACACACCAAAAATAAAAGGAAAGAGAAAAAGAAAAATACCAAACCTAAATCTCCCCCAAGCCAAAATCAGACAATGTCCTCATTGGCTCGGAAACTAGGCCAGCATAGCTAGTCCTCATCATCCTCATCCATCGAGCTGAAACCTGCACCTCCACTGCCACCTGCACCACGTGCACCAGAAGAGCTACCACCAAAATAATCAGCGTGAAAACTCCCCCCCCCCCCGGTCCCCCGAAAGGAATGTCCTGCCCGTACCCGAAGAAAGAAGAATAGTCAGTGTAAATACCACGGGCAGTGGGATCCCTATCGTATCCCTGGGGTGGAGGCTGAAACCAGGGTGAATAGCGTCGTCGGGAATGTTGCCCCGACGAGTATAATCATCGTACATAGGGTAGAGAGCTCTACCCTGGTTCCTCTCTAGGTACCCTAACCTCTGGTCTAAGGAGCCTACCATCCTCCTAAGGTCAGTATGTGAATGCTCTATACGTCCTAGGGCCTGACCTATTGTAACACCCCGTAATTTTGAACCAAGGTTTTACGAGCATTATTCACTAATACTTTGATTTCTATTCAAATTTCGAATTTCTAATTAGTTATTATTAATATTTTGATATTATTGTTAATAATACTATTAATAATAAGGTTATTATATATACACGTTAATAACTGATTCATATTTTGTCTTTTCTTCCTGATTTCTGTTACATTATAAACTTTATATGTTATTTTGCATCATGATTAATTTATGATTATTGATTATTATTGTTCTTATTATAATTATTTTTGGTTATTGTTGATTTATAATATCAATTATTATTATTATTATTAATAGTGTTATTATATGTGTATTTTATTTGCTTCTTATTCCATGTCTTCTCCTCGATTTTTTTTTTTTCGGGCCAACTAGAATTAACTCGGGATAGAACTCAGACTAGTAATTAACCGTCTAATTAGGCTTGTATAACCTTGTTTATTTGCTCTCCTTAAGCGCATGATAGTTTTTGGTAAATACTCCTAAACTAGTCCAATTGACATCCTTAATTTAAGGCTTTACTTTGTAATCACAAGTGTTGCTTAAGGCCCATCTTCTCTTCTTTCTCACGGTTATTCAAGGGCTTGTTGCTTCTTATTTTTCCACCCTAGTAACCCCCCCAATTACACCCTCAATTAATCTCATTCAATTACCAATTAATTGCTGTCCAAAAACACTTGATATTCCCTAGCCAACTTTTTTTTTTGTTACCCAAAGCAAGGCTTGTTGAACGTGATTTTTGCTTCACTTTCACAACAATTTTCCTTATTAGATTCCCTCAAAATTTCATGTATTCATCAAGGGTTTTCGTGGGTATATTGCTGTTGTTTTTCCCCTCAAGTTCGAGCACCCAATTGTCCTTAAGAACACCAAGGAACACAGGGTAAATAAAGCTTTGTTTGGACGTTTTGGTGGGCAATCCTTGCTGCACCTTAATCTGATTTTTATTGCCTTCACTTAAGAGGTAACTAGCACTATTCCAAGCTTTAGAAATCATGGCTAGGATAGGTTGAGGCTAGGTGCAAATTAGAGTTGAATAGATTAGAGGTTCGTTGTAATTCAAGGTGCTAGAATTAGTATATTGGTCGTTGTTCTGTGCGTGAGAAATGAGGGCTTCTTATTCATTTTTATTTCTGGTTTTTATGCTTGATAATCATGCCTAGAAGTAGTATATATATTAAGGTTTGGTTCCATAAATTATTGTTGTGTTTTAGTGGTTTTAAAGCATGTTATACACCCTAATGCTCATCGAAATTGCTGCTGTAATTGTTGTCGTGCTGTTGTGGGTTTACAGCTCTATTTTTCCTAGTTTTTGGTTGATTTAGTACCTATGTTTGTGTAGCATCATGTTAGGTATATTCCTAAATGGTTTACTCATGTTTCAATAGAAGATATGTCTTGAATTTAAGCACTAGAATCCTCAAATTGCTGCTGCTATAATCAATGAAGTTACCATGTACTTCTACAGCCCTTAAGCATGGTATTTACTTGTTTTATAGGCCTTTATTGTTTATTTATAATTAGGCATCATGTTAGGATTATCTCCAAGTAAAATTATCGTGTTTTGGGGTATGCTTTGATGTGATTATATGCCTAAAACTAAGCAAGGTGTTGCTGCCAGGTTAGTTTGTGAGCTGCGTGAATTGAGTGGTTTTAAGTGATGTATTGCATAATATTTATGCCTAATCTTGTGTCTATTCTGATCTATGGTGTTTTTAGAATGTGTATGATAATGGGCTAAGGTTAATTGTGAGTTTAAGGTTGGTTTTGGGTGAATTTGTTTTACAATGTGCTGCTGTAGTTCTAATTAGGGGCTGCTACTTTGTCATGTTGTTTTTACCCTGTTAAAGTCATGAATTTAAGCCTATATTGTATGTATATATTGCCTGATATGTGGATTAATATGTCATGGTTTTATTTTATCATTTTGGTATGTTTTGGGTGTGTTTATGAAGCGTTTAATACGTCGTGTAGTGTCTACCATTTTTGGGTGTTAAGTGAATTGTCGACGTCGTTGTGCTTTAAAGTAGAATAACACTGTTTTTAGCACCGCTTCGCCAAGGGTTGTGTACGGAGTGTATTGTCATATTTTGTTATAATTAGCTTCGTACCCAAATCCAGACAATAAGAGTGACACCTTGTTATGATATATAAATGATTTTTGTACACTTTGAAGAATTTTGAAGTTAAACTCTTTTGAAGGATTTTTGTTGAAATTTGGTCTTAGAAGTAAAGACCTGTAGTATTGGGGTTGATGATCCCTAAATGTGTTTGGATAATTTTGAAGAATTATTTTTACTGTTTTATTTGATTCGTGAGTGTAAGACAACCATTGGGCTGCGGAATTCAATGGTTGGAACATGCCAACATCTTGGGCTGCGGAATTCGAGATGTAATTTTCTAGGTTAATTGTTGTCGTCCGAAACTACTCGGGCTGCGGAATTCGAGTAGGAAAACTGGGAGTTTGGCCATTCTCAGACGCAGACGGCTGCGGAATCGTCTGTAGGTTCGCCCTACAAATCTTTGATGGTGGGCTGCGGAATTCACCGGCGTTCATATTTTATATGCTTACCTCACTATGGATCAGTTTTCGAAAAGTTAAAATTCTCTATTTTAATATTATTACGCTTTTGAGAAGGTCTTCCTAAGTCAAGTCAAGAATTTTCTAGACCTCTTTAAAGAACCTTTATAAGTGTTAATTATTGTTTTTATGAGTTTATTGCTTATGCTTTGGGTGCTATTTATTCTTACTCCGTAATCATGTGGTAATATAATTACTTTGTTCAATATACATGTTTATTTTGTTTTGTATTGTAATCAGGTTGCATGTGTTGACTTGGATTCCTATCTATGTATCTTATCATATTTATCTTGTCTATATTATGAAGTTGTTGCTTGACATGTATATGTTGTATTAATTGTATGTATGCTTCTATGCTTTACTCTATGCTTAGCTTTGTGTTTCTACAAGTTTTGGGAGAACTGCTAGTTACTCCCCACTGATTGTGGAACCTAAATGTTATTTGCAGGTGAAGAGTAACGTTTGTTGAGTCTGGGCTGAGAGCATAGTGTTTAGGTTGTTCCCAAGGAGTTTTATCGACTATCTTTTGATATCTTTACTTCTCTTTATGAGATAGCCGAATTTGAGGTTGTTCTGCCTCGTTGGAAGTCTTATTTGATCATTTGGGATTTCTTTCTCTTCATTATTTCTATTTCAGTTATTTATTTATTTTGTTTAGTTTTTAGTAACCCTTAGAGTGATATTCCGTTTTGACGTTATTTCCGCTAACGTCTCGCCTTCTATTTTAGATGGGGTTTTACACCTATACTCTGAAGATCCCAAACCGGGTCAAAGTCAACATGAGGGACGGAATGGGACATACGAGGTGGAGAGAAAGCCACCTCGGGCTGAGGCTGGGGTGGTGGTACTGGTGGTGGTGGTGCCTGCCCCCTAGCGTTGGCAACTAAAGCATCATAAGTGTAAGAAAGTTGCCCTGGGGGAAAGGCGGTCAAGTCAGGACTGGGTAGGGGAAAAATGGGTAAAGGTTGCTCTTTCCCAGTTCAAATACACCAAAAGGGTGTCTGCTCGCTATCCGGTCTAACCCACCCCACATCCTCAAAATACCTAGCAGTCATGTAGGTATCTGGTCCACAGTTGGTCAGCTGGTGGGGTCCGTCGACAATAAAACCGGCCTTTTTCACCGTTATTCGAGTGATAAGGCCACCTAAACGGATAGGGGACTTGGAAGTGGTGCTGGCTGTGGCATGCCTACTCAAATGGTGAACTATAAACCTGCCTATGTTCAATTTCCCGAACCCGTACACATAATGTCCTATAACAGCTAGTTTGAGCGTTATGAGGCTCGGCCCTACCTAAAAAACACAAACCCGCAAATCTTTGCCAGATTTTTGGGACAGGGTGGTGAATAGGTTTGGTACTAGCATGTTGGGGGTCGGGGGCAGGTAAACCAGTCAAAGCATAATATAAGTCACCCATTTTATAGTCTGCATGCCATTGGTGAGATAATTCAGAATTTAATTCAAAAATTTTACAAAATTCAACAAAAGTTAAACTAATATTTCTATTATTTAACCTGAATAATAAATTAGGCCCATTCCTACTACTAACAACATGAAAAGTGGACAGGAATTCACAGGTAAGTTCTCGGTATGTAGGACAGGAATTCACAGGTAAGTTCTCGGTATGTATCTACAAAATTCAACAAAAGTTAAACTAATATTTCTATTATTTAACCTGAAAAATAAATTAGGCCCATTCCTACTACTAACAACATGAAAAGTGGACAGGAATTCACATGTAAGTTCTCGGTATGTAGGATAGTGCATGTCAACAAATTTTCTCATGCCAATATCATTCAAAAATCGTTTAACAAAATCATACAAACCAAATGATTCTAAGGTAGGGCGGTGTAACCACCGAGAAGGAATTACCTCACGACCGACCAAATGCTCTAGCCGTTCCTTTTGTTCCCGGCTCACAAACCGGATCGTCAGCCAATATGGGAGTTGCAAGTCCGGGTCGTATTCCTCCCTTGAACTGGAGTTCCTACCAAAAATGGACCTAGCCCTCTTTGAAGCCATGTTGAAGAAATGGGTTTGAAAATTTATTGAATTAAAACTGAAAAATTTTTATATGAAAGTGAAGAGGATGAAGAAAGGATCACAAATATGTAAAGAGTTTTGAATTTGGGTAAGAAATGGAGGAGAAATCTTAGAGAGAAGGTAGAGAAAATTTGAGTTTTAGAGAGAAAAAGTTATGGAGAAAGAAGAAATAATGAGAAATGGTGAAGAAAGAAGATGGGAAAAATCCCGTATAAGGCTCGCGCCCAGTCGGGTCCTAGCTCCGGGCGCCAGCCTAAGCTTCTCCTGCCCGGCAGGGCGCGCCTCCGGGCGCCAGCCTTTTTGGCCGGGCGGCTCATTTGGGCAACTATTTAGACTTCGATTGGGCTCCAATTCTTCGGGCCAATCTGGGTTTCCTCTTTGGGTCTTGAATACTCGGTCCAAATGCCCCGATATCACCTATACCGAGCCCTGGGCTATAAACTCTGGTCGTGCTTCTCCAATGCTCGTGGTTGCTCCAAAATATCTCGGGAAAAATACTCCAAAAGCATAAATCCCTGCCAAAGTCAACCAAATCTACGAAAACTCTAGAAAACACCAATTAGTAATAAAAGTGGCTCTAAAGAGCCAAAAACACTACTAATTACGACCAAGAGATGGGGGTAAAATACTATATAAAATAGACACATCAGTATTGCACCATTCCACATTAATATGAGCATCAAACATTAGTAGTAGGCCTTCATTGTATGGAACTATTGATCTGTTATCCATTAGATGATCACCCTTTTTAATGAACCTGCGAGTTTTATATTGGGATTAGAGTATGAAGCAATTTATGGCATTTTTAAGTTTTTGTTGTAAAATAATTTACTACCTTTCGTCGTCCCTTCTTCTGTATACGGGGTGACCATTATTATCTAAAATAGTTTCTTGATTGAATTGCTTTGGATAGTTTTTGCTGCACTTCTTATCCACCATGCATGGGCAATTTGGATTGGAATTTCCGCATGGACCACGGACCATGTAACGTGTAACGTGTAACGGCCTCATATAATTCTGGTTTCGATTCTTTGTCTGGGATCTCTGCTTGTATGATTGTGTCTATGAATTGTGGAGTGTGTGGTAATTCTTCTTCCTTTATCCATAAAAGTATATGAGCGTGAGGTAGCCCCCTCTTTTGAAATTCCACAGTGCATACATCTGTATTTTAGCCATACATTACTAAAAGTTAGTTGTAGGATTTTTTTTTGTTAATAAAAAGTTAATTTTTTTTTTACTTTTAATTGAACTGCTCATCATGGGTTCATCATAAATTATTATAGTTTGCTTATATCTAAAAAGTAAACCGTGGAAAACTATAAAAGTAGATTAAGGAAACAAAATGAATTATCTGTGAAGTGTGTGTATGACCTGGTACGCATTCATTACTTTGCAAATTCTTTTGTAAATTACTTTACCTGCCACATCAGTCCCAAAGTAATGGTCTTCTTTAAGACACTTCATGAGCTGTTTTAGTTTGAGCTTGAATACTCTTGCCATGATATCTGGTCGATCTTCTGGCTTTTGTCCTTCAATATGACTCAACATTGCTTGTACTTCTGGCCACTTTGTGTTTGCTGTAAATGTGATGAATAGATGTGGGCTTCCATATCGTCTACAGATTGCCATAGCATCTTGATAGTTTTGGTACATGTATCTTGGTCCTCCCGTGAATGATGCGGGTAGGATAATTCTTTTTCCCACTGCTGCCCCATTCATGTCTCCTTGTACTACAGCATCTCGTATGTTGTTGTATATTTCGCACCTAAATTGCTGTTGGTTGTTTCGGATAAATGACAGCCTTTCTTCTTCAATCGCGCAATAGCAGTCTACTATAAATTGTAAAAGTAACCGACCTGCAGCAAGATATAAGGAATTATGTTTAAATATGAATTTATTGTCATATAAGTAAACGAATTCTTGTATCTTTTTTGGAGGTTTGTATATGTGTTATATAAGTAAAAACGTGCATATTAATTTGAATAAGATAAGTAGTTAACCTGCTCGTAGTAGAGTTTGAGCTTCTGTTTTTCTTGTTTGCAGCCTGTATGCGTAAAACTCTCTCATGGTCACACATTCCCTTTTGCCTTTTCCTAATCCTTTTTTCTTAGCATATACTATCCCAAGATGGAAACTATCTTCTCCATATGGGAATAGCAGAGGATATTGTAAAGCCATGAAGCTTGGGTGTAATTCACTTATTCTTTGTAATCCTTCTGATTTGTGCTCAATTATTATATCCCTTCCATATGTGTTATGTCCAATATCTCCTACTATAAGTGCAGCTATCTCAGATGATGTTGGCATGTTGTATGTTTTTTTTTTGTTGTCTCTTGTACCAAGTAGCCTTATGGTCCACTTTTCTCCCACATTTTGTCTTATTCTTTGTTGTGTCATTCTAAAGGTTTGTGCTAGGGGATTCACTTTGTCAAGCATTGCTTTCAATTTGGAAAGTAATTCAAAATTCAATTTTGGGCTGTTTTCATTCTTTTGAACAACATCTGTTCTTAAATTGATTTCTAATGCACCATCATATATATATAGCTGGGAAATGATGGTTGTTTATCATCCACCGGCAGAAGAGACCCTATGCGATGATGATTCTGTCCACTTACTCTAAAAATATATGGCCCTGCTGTTGTGTTTACTAAATTATCAACCTTAGCGCCCATTGACGTAAATGCAAAACATGAATTGTATATACGAATAAGTTGTCTGAAGACTGATGCGCATTTGTCTCCCATGTAATTCAACAATTCTGCCAGCAACCTGGGTGGTTCTTTGAATTTGGGTAATTTTACTTTCCCCTCTTGACAACATAGGTTGAAGATTGTCCTGTTCTTTGTGCTTCTCTTCTTAACTCTCTCTTCGTACCACATTAATGCACCACACTCTGGACATTCGTATTCAGGTAAGCCTAAGCTTATATACTTGTAGCTTTCATTATAAGTTCCTGTACATTAAAGTAATTCATGCTTAGATAATGATAGTGATTTAAAGAAAGTGCAAGGTAAGTTGGTAAGTTTTATGATACCTGCTGAAGTTGTTTCGAATTGAATTTGTTCATTCTCTTCGTTATTAAATAATCGCCTTCTTTTGTCTTTATGCAAATCTGCACATACAATTCAAAGATGAGTAAAGTGTTAGCAATTGACAAAATATTGTAAATTTATTTATTGCAGGTTTTGGGTGTTCTAATAGTTCTTATGGACTATGGCTAGATTGCCCTTCTTATGTTCAATGACCATCTATGAGCTCGTAAAGCTGATTAACCCTCTCTCAGAGTTGACATGGTATGAATGCCCTAACAGAGTCACAGCTTTCTTTGTAGTTATTTTGTACCTTTCTAAGCTCCATGATGTTGTTTGAACCTTCACTCTATATATTCAGAATGTATTGTCTAACAGTTGATTTGATTCAAGTTTGTTTGGTGAATTTATTCAGCAATGGAGAAATTGGGAGGTTGTATGGTTGAAGTATTTTCGATATGGATAGAACCGTACTACATTGATGATTTTATATATTTATCATGACAAATTATTCTGTTACATGTAGCTTCATAATGTCGAAAACACTCCACAAGATTTGGGAACTACTTTCCGGTGCACCAAAAGGAGAAGCAGCTAATCTAGGTACTTGGTATATATTATTAAAACAAAGGGACATTCCTAATTATGTCCGTTTTCAATTGTTGCATTAATTTAAGCCAATATAACTGAAACAGGAACATGAATACAGTAGCTGTTCACATGAATTGCAATGAACAGTTCCTAAGTTCTAGATTTATAGTACTCTGGATTAATGGTTCATGTATAGATATATTTTCAGTGTTTTCCCTATAATCTTGTAACATTATGAACGGAGGGAGTACTTCCTCTTTTTTTATTTACTTTATAACACACCACTTAACAAAAAATTTAAAAAATACTCTTTGGTCTATAATACGGGCTTACATCTAGAGCATATATTGTTTCATAAAGAGCGTATAATTCTTGTATTACATACGGTTTCATGATTCAAATTTTTGTTAATGGTAATCAAATTACATCACTATCAAGTCACAGTAGATTGATATCTTGATTAATTTTATTAGAAAGAGCAAGTTATGTTTTATATTAATTACCTGGTCCTATATGCAGTTGTCTTCGTGCTTTTTTCTCATTGAGTATCAATCGTCTCCTTTTCCTTCTTTCTCTTTGCAAAGCTTTTTTAATGAAATCTTGGTTCATGGTATCTTTTAGAATAGATTCACTGTATGATGATTGTGTTCTTTCTTGAGTTGCATACATGTAATTTTTATGGGTTAAATATGTATGATAATTTTATTAAAGTTGTTTATTAGAATATAAAGTTTGAGTAATATCTTTACAATGAAAGTAAATTTTTATCTTTTGAATTTAAGGAATTTTTGTAATTAAAATTTCATCACATGAAAAGATTAAAAAAAAAAAAAAAAAAAAATAACAAATATGCCATAAACATGTTTGGGCCCTATATACTATCACGTAAATGTTTATGGTAGCTTTTGGACAAAATTAAAAAGATAACTTTTAGTCATATTAATTATTCAAATAGGTATGATAAATTTTTTTATTAAACATTGTGATTCAAATAAGTTTGATACTTATTTTATTAAAGTTGGGTTAGGATTAGATTATAGTATTTCGGCCTTGAAACTTAAGAGTTGAGATATCAATCTCCTATACTCAAAATATGATAGTAATAATAAAACGTATAAGATCTCTTATAAAAATTAAAATCTAAGTTTGATACTTATTTTATTAAAGTTGGGTTAGGATTAGATTATAAAGTATGTTAGTAATAATAAAACGTATAAGATCTCTTATAAAAATTAAAATTGTACTACTTTGAGTATATATATGTTAGTAATAATAAAACGTATAAGATTTCTTATAAAAGTTTAAATCTAAGTTTGATACTTATTTTATTAAAGTTGGGTTAGGATTAGATAGATTATAGATTATCTTTTATTTTATTTTTTTTCACCTTTTTATCTTTAATCTTAAAATATATACTATTGTTGAACGGTCATATAAATTAAAAATGGTAACAGCCTTATTAAACTACTTTGAGTATATACCAATTGTCAAATTGCGTTTCCTTGGCGTGGCGAGCTTACTTTGAGTAGGATATGGGATAACTGAAATTACTGATATCACTAACAAATGTTGCACATCAATTTTTTAATACCTCAAATTTATAATTAATAATAAAACGTATAAGATCTCTTATAAAAGTTAAATTCTAAAATATTTGAGTACATAATAATATAAAATCATATGAAGAAATTGCTAAATAGTCTAATGGCTAACTTAATAATGAAATTCTAAAATAACCAATGATTATTTAATGAAGTATATAAAAACTACATAATGGATGATAATTTCGAAGCTTGAATATCCCTTCGCATTATGAAACTTGTTATCTTGATCATGAAATTAAACCTGCAATATGATTAGATTTTTAAACAATTAATTAGTATATTATTTTAAAATAAAGTAGCTAATTATTGAGAAAAATTAAGTAGATACCTTTGTTTTTTTAAATGTATTGTTGCTTGAATCTTTATCATCTTTACTATCAGATTCATCATGAGACCGTTTTCCATTATCCTTACTTGTATCTTCTTCTTTATTTGTTGTAGCTTCTTTGTTGTCCTTTATATCAAATAGTTAGTATAACAATTATTTTTTGGAAAAGTTTAATAAAAATTTAATGATTTTTAAAAGTTAAAACATACCTCAAGGATAATTGTTTCAAAAAATTTCATCATAGTGAAGGTTTGTCGTGATGTTTTACGATTATAAGCAGTGATTTTAACTTTAAAAATCAATTCTTTCCCAATGATATTTTTAATTATCATTGGTATTTCTGATTCTGCGTCATTATCGCTAGCATCATCTTTGTTATTAGCCTGTGACAATAAAATACGCAATATAATCAATATTTTGAATGATTATTAAAATATATAATTGTATTTTATTAAATTTTTTGTAAGTAATTTTAAAAAAGGATAACCTTTTCATATATATGAGCTTCAAAAACAGCACTCGCATCTTGACCAATTAACTTCTTAGCTTCTTCATCAAATATAACAAATATGGTCGACCCACTATGATCTTCAACACCAAGCTCCAAACGATACCAATAGGTCATTATTAAAAAAAAATCAATAGCTAATTAAATATGATTAACATTTAAACCATAAACTATTCTTAAAATTCTAACCTTGGTATTGGTCTATCAACTGATTTGACAGCGTTTTTTACAAACCGGACATGAGATATAATACCAACCAGTCTCACCCATGATATCAGTCACTTTAGCCTTACAGTAGAATATTAAATCCTATATTTACGAAATTATTAGAAATTATATATATATTGTATGATATATATTTAATTATTAAATAATGATTCAAAATAATAGAAATAGCATTTTTGATATAATACCTTTTCAACAGTTTTTTGGATGTGATTCATAAGAGTTAAGATATCAATCTTCTTGGAGATAATTTCTTCTGAGTCCGTAGAAGTACGTTGTATCTCAAGTTTTCCAATAGTACTATTTTCCGATTTTTCACTATTATAAAAAATAAAAAAAATAGATAAAAAAATATAAAAAATAAAAAAATAGATAAAAAATAAAAAAAATAGATAAAAAAATATAAATTAATATTTTATTGTTAAAAGCAGACACTATGTACCAAAATAAGAATTTTGAAAGATAGAAATCATACTTCCAAATATCTTTTAACAACTGAACCTCTGGAACTTCTACATTTGTATAGATTTTGGTTGATGACGAAGAGGTAAGATTAAAAGTACCTACATATTAAGTAATAATAAAAAATAAAATAGCTAGAAAAATAATGAAAATAATAATTAGTAAAATAATAACCAACAATAAACTTAAATTACCATTAAACTCTTTCACCATCGTTGACGTTATTATAATAGGAAAAGGTTTAGTGAAATCAGTAAGTTGGTTTTTCTGTTTTGTATACTCAGCAAAAACATTATTCCAAAGCTTAATTAGAACTCGTTTCCCCCTAATTACAAAAAATAATATTAGATACACATAAAATAAATATACGTAAGAAGAATTATTTAAAAGTAAAATATACATACCATTTATCTTCTATTTCGATAGAATCATCGACTTCTTTTACAACCATACCTACTATGTCTAATATAAAAATACAACACTGAAATATTAGAAAAAATAAAATTGATATAAAACAATCTATACATTTAGATAAAATAAACCAATATATTTACCGGGAAGTGAATAATTGTTGCGAAATTGATCCAAAGAATGTAATTGTATAAAATCAAATCTATGCATTGGAATTTTTCCATCATCCCCAATAGCTCGGACAACAGTGTTTTGAAAAATTGATTCATTGTTTTATTGTCACTGACAATGCGATATTGCTTCTTATTTGGTATGACTGAAAAGTATCTAATGGTGTAAACTTTTCCTTCAATCAATTTCGGACGAAAGGGTTGAACAAAGTTGGATTTGATTGAGGCGTGAATGTAATCACCCTGTTATTAAATATAAGAAATTAAGTTAATTAGTTATAATAAAAACTAAAGAGGTTCAATTCAAAATTTAATAGAGGTAATATTTTATAAGAAATACCTCCTCGTCCAATAGGACCATATCCAAACTTATTAAGCTATCTTGTTTGCGAAAATTCAGTACGTCAAACAGGCGAGAAACACATACTTTGATTTTCCAATCATTTTTGCTTGAATTTAATTCCCTAATTAAATTTGATCTGTATGTAAAAACAAAAATCTCAAAATAAACACAATGTACATAACAAATACAAATATAATTTTATTTAAAGAGCAAAGAATTACCCAGCCATTGATGATCTACAACTGACACAATTACTAACACAAACTTTAATTGATTTGGTTTTGTATTGATACGAAATTTTGTTGGTGATGTATGATACGTCAATTTATAATAATGCGTCAATTTATAATGGTAGTTAACAAAAATTTATCGTATAATGGTAGATATGTTTTAAGATATGGTTATAATTATTTTTAAGTTATTTTATTGGGTTATTGTTAAAATAAATTTTATCTTATATTGATAGTTATGATTATCAAATCCTAATATTGAAAATAATATTGTACTGTATGATATTATTTAATTATTAATACCCGATTAAAGTGTTCTTCCGTATTTCAGTTCATTTTTATCACGAATTAGTGGGGTATGGATGTATGGTGATGAAAATTGTTACAGTAAGCATGATATGAAAAGATAAACATGATAAACTAATTTTTACATGAATAACGATTTGAAAAGATAAACATGATAAACTATTTTTTTTTAATTTTAAAAGGTTTATAATTTTTTGTTTTATTTGATGAAATTTATAATCCGATTGAATTTGCTCGTATTTCAGTTCATTTTTATCACGAATTAGTGGGGTATGGATGTATGGTGATGAAAATTGTTAAATTAAAGATATTTCAAAGAATTATATAACTTTATATTATCAAGCAATGATAAACGGATATCATGGCAAGAGTATTATAATTTAAATAAGATAATTATTTACATGGTATTAAATCAAAGAATTTTATAACTTTATATTATCATGCAATGGTAAACGGATATCATGGCAAGAGTATTATAATTTAAATAAGATAATTATTTACATGGCATTAAAATTGGAGATATATCGAATCTTATTCATCACTTTTATCTAGTTGGCGAGTGAATTTTTTAATTCTAAAATAAAATAGAAATCTAATTTTTCATTGGTCCAAAATCTACCTTTGCTTACATGGCGCTCCCAATGCTCTCCAAAAATGCCTACTTTATTTATATATATTAGATTTCCAAAAACTCAATCATTTTTAAGAATTATTTGAAGTTTGTTCTATCAATTTCAGCAACAATTATTCTCAACGTTGAAGCATCAATTAGCAATCTCTTTCTCTCTCCTTTGTTATTTAATTTTCTGATTTTCTCTTTGATTAATCTTAGTTCTTGTTTAATCTTTGTTATTTGTTCTTGCATGTTTAACCCATCCTTGTTTAATCTCTCTCCTATTAATGTGTGGTTGGTGCACCCGGGTGCATGGTGCACTCGAAAAGAACATTAGGTATATTTAAAAGAACATGGGGAAGAAAAATAAGAACATTATAGATATTTATAAAGAACGCGAGCATAATATGTTCTTTAAGTTTGATTATTATGTTCTTTGAGTATGAAATATATATTCTTTACATTATAAAATATGTTTTTTAATGTAAAAAAAAATATTAAAAAAATAAAACCCGAGTAAGCAGGAAAAAGAACATGTTCTTTAATGTATTATCATGTTCTTTTTGTAAAGACTCTATGTTCTTTGGCTAGAGGTGATCAAAGTTAGACCGGCCCGACTCGATTTTGGACGGGTTTTGGGCAGAATTTTTTCGCCCCCCCAGATTGGGTCGGACTCGGCCCGTAAATTTAATTTTTTGAGTGGGTTTAGGAATGCGTTTTTATGCATTTAGTTGATTTTTTTTACTCGACCCGACCCGAAAAGCCTGCATGGCCAGACCATTTTGGGCGGGTTTGGGCACAAAAAATTTGGCCCAAAACTTGTCCCGACTCGAGAAGTGAGCTGATTTTTAACTTTGGCCCGGCCCGCCCAATGATCACCTCTATCTTTGTCAAACGTAAACATGTTCATTTTTGTCAAATATTATGTTCTTTTTCAAACACGTTCAGCCACCCAAGTAACCATGATAAATAACATGTCCATTTTTTAAAGACTTTATGTTCTTTGTAATGTCATGTTCTTGTCAAACACAAACATGTTCTTTTGTCAAATATAGGTATGTTCTTTTTCAAACACTAGCATGTTTTTTTTTGCCCATGTTCTTTAAAATATGTCTAATGTTCTTTCCGGGTGCACCATGCGCATGGTGTACCCGGGTGCACTATACTATTTTCATTCTCCTATTTTAATTGAATTCATGTTAACCCTATATTCAATTGTTAGATTGATTTCTACCATATTTAGTGAGTAGTACCTTAGTTAGGGGTTGGGTGAAGGGGTTGGGTGAAAACCCAACCAAGCCATGGTTGATTGACTTGGATTTATTCATGTTTTATTTTAGATTGATAGTTGTTTGTGCTTGAATTGATTGTTGCATGTGTATTTTGATGGCCACTTTATGCTCATGTGTTCATCCCTCTACTTACATCGAAAGATGGGGTTTTGGAGTGAGTCCTTTCTTGTACAATTAGAATATGCTATTTTCATGATTATGGATGTTTGGTTTCATTGAGTAGAATGCTTTAGTGTGGTAATTAGGTGAGAAATCTCAATTATTTGTGCTTCATGCTAGTTCGGAACGATCGAGAGACAAACTCGAGCTAGAAACCCACTTCCTATCCTTGAGACTTAATCCTTGTCATGTTACTACTTAATCTAGGGAGTACTTATGTTGTGACTTTGAAAGAAGATAATGTTAAGTTCCTATTCTATCTTCCATGTATGCTCATGATTTATCCTTGTTTTTGGTTGGTGTTAAGTCCTGTTTTCCCTAGCATTCCTTTATATAGAAGGTAACTAATCAAAACCCGATTTGTGACCAAATTAGCTTACAACCGTTTCATACTCTTGGTGTTCTTTATCCATTCCATGTGGATACGATCCTGTACTTACCCAAGGCTTGTCTTAGGTTATTTTAGGTAGAAATATTGTTTGGTTTAGCCGTTTAGGGTGATTGTCCAGGCCAACGACCGATTATTCCTCTACCAGTTTATGGGCTCAAATTAATTTGGCGGTTTTGAGTTCAAGGTGAAATTAGGAAGGTGAAAAAAGAGAGTCAGAATGGAGGAGAATTAATTACGGAGGAGAGAAGGTATGGGGAAGTTAATCTATATCTATACTTAGTATTTAAAAAAGCAAAAAAAAAAAAAACATGTGTCATCATTCTATTACACTTCCTATCTTCTTCTTAAACTCAACGTGCCACATGTCGTTTTACATTTTTTATTTTTGATTATATAATTTTTCTTAACTCTTTCATTAAACACTTCATCTTCATCTCCCCTCTTTAATTCAACCTTTTTAATTTCTCTCTTTGATTTTAGTCCCTCCATCTTCTTTCTATTAAGTCTCATTTCAATTAAAGTCCCAAAAATTTTATTTCTTTAATTATGTTTTCATTTACATATTACACTCATAATTATTTATTGGTATTTTATCAATCATCTCTCAATGCAATTTTCTATGAACAAGCCGTGCATTGCACGGGCAGAAGACTAGTTAGGTGGAAAAGGTAGAAAGTGGGCCCCAATAATGTCACTTTGGGTAGTTCTAAACAATATAAAAAATAGGTAGTTGTTCACAAATGACCCTATCTTTAGGGTAGTTTTAGACAATATTTCTTTTTTTTTAATCAAATTTACAAATCTAATCTAATATATATAAAATTATATATATATATATATATATATATATATATATATATATATATATATATATCAACGCATCACACAAGTAAAGATATTATTTCGTCCAATGAAAAACTAGATTTGTATTTTATTTTAGACAATTATAATTATAAAAAAATTTATCTTTTCACATTAATTTTTTTTCATAATATTCATCCTATGAGATAATATATACAAAAACATTATTTTGACCAATGAAAAGATATCTACATTTATTTAGTATTAAAAAATAAAATGTCATATATAAACAAAAATAACGAATGTAATTTGATAGTGTAATTTCAAGTGCCGGTAAAAAAAACTATGATTCAGGATTTTTAATTTATATGAAAAATAAAAAAAATTAACATTAATTATTTAGTGTGTTACCATGTGGCTATAACGTTAACACTTACCAAAAAAAAATATTTGAGAGTTTAATATTGTGTGCCACGTAGGTAAAATAAAAATAAAAATAGTGATTTTGAATTATTTAATTTATTTATAAACAAAAAACACTTTTCACATTAAAATTTTTCTATGATAAAATCTGACGGATAATATAACATATTTCAAAGGATTATTTTGACCAATGAAAAATAATAATTTATTTGAATTTCCCTTTTAGAATTGAAAAAAAAACCAATTGCCACGTAAGTAAAATTAACAAAAAAAATTTGATAGCTTGATTTTGTGTGTCAGGTAAAAAAAATCTATTAATTGTGATTTAGGATATAAATTATTCTATAAGAAAATATCTTTTACATTAAATAATTTTTTTCTAATATTGATGTATCATATTTATAATCTAATTATTAATTAAAAATCACCTCAATTAATAAAGTTGCATTATAAATTACATAAAATTTTATAAATTTTCTGCAATATGCAATAACAAATTAATTAAAAATTTTATACTCCATACAAAAATTATTTTTAAAAAAATCGTGCATAGCACGGGTTTACATCTAGTTTATAGTGATTAGGGGATCGCCCGGAGACAATTACTAGTTTTAAACCTTTTTTTTTCCTATATACCTTACACGAGTACATAGGGCTGAGCAAAACTACCCGAAAAATCGAAAACCCAAAAAATCGATCCGTAACCGTTTCGAAAATAAGGATACCCGATCCAATAACTAGGGGTGTCCATAATTCGGATAAAAACCAAAATCCAATCCAATCCAAACTGAATTATCAATTCAGATCGGATCCGAACTTTAAATCGGATCGGATCAGATTAAGATTTTTTGAAAATTCGGATTTTCGGATCGGATCGAATTGACCCTATTCGGATCCAATTAAAACTGAACACTGAAATTTAGATATCAACATTTATAATATGGTCTGCTGTGGTTTATAATTTGGCCTTTAAAATTTAGCCCAAATACATAAAATTTAGCTTAAATAAATTTT